TGAGTCCTTGTTGATGCTACCTTTTTGCTGTAGTCCTTGATGGCATTGCTATGCTTGCAGTGGTACGATGGCAGCAGGAGCAGCAGGGGTGGCACAAGAAGAAGAAGAAATACTAGTAGTAGTAGTAGTAGTAGTAGTAGTAGTAGTAGCAGCAGTAGTAGTAGGTGGTCGTAGTAGGTGATCGTAGTAGCAAGAGGAGAAGGAGTGGGTGTGGCAGTAGGATTGGGACAAGGGCTAGGAGTTGGCCGTCACAGCAACAGCCCTGAATTCATCGCATACCGCAGCCAAACACCTGTTTCTGTCCAAGCATGCACACAGGCTGTGAGTGGGTTGATCAGGGATTGGTTGTGGTTGTGGTGGTGGTGGTTGTTGTTGTTGGCGGTGGTGGTGGTTGTCGTTGTCGTTGTTGTCGCTGTAGTGGTGATCGTGGGCTGTGCTGATGCCTATGCTGCCGGTGGTGGAGGTGACGGCGGCGGCTCGGGGTGCAGCGGTGGGATGTCGTCCTTCCTGCCGTAACCATTAGGTAATGCGTTGGCTGCGAACCCGAAGCAAAGGCTTCGTGTTCACGAAGGATACGTGGCCTAGGGTCGGTCATGTCTGACAGCCTTGTACGGAACCGACAGCCGCTTGACCTCCAGGCTACAGCTGCGAGAGCAGCCGGGGCGCCCGAAAGGTCTGGAAGAGTTTTGAGGGATGGATCAGTAGTTCATGTATTGGTTTGCCTTGAATTGAATAACCCCTTACACCCCCATATATCCTATGCTTCAATCCCTCCCGTAGACACCCGTGCAGCCTCCACAAACAACTTTTTGTCTGATAGTCTGACGGATTAGACATGTTTTTGTTCGTAGTGTTTCTTAGTCACGTCAATTTGTTGCAACATGGATTACGGTATATGGTTTAGGGTAGGTAGGGTCGCCTTCTAGCAGGGTTCTGTCTGGTTTCAGAGGACTCCTAGGCTGGATGGAATATCGTGGGATGTCGCCACTTAGGCTCTACTAAAGCTATACCTGTCTACTAAAACTACTCCTCCTTGCGGAGTAGTAACCCACATCGCACGGTAGAACTTCGGTAGGAAACTCAGTACTGTCAATACCCCACGTTCAGGGAATGTTCCTCAGGTCATGGCATGAAGCCCTCCCTGATTTAAGGAATATCCCTTACCTTAGGGGACGTGGCCTGTTTGGCTCCACGACCTCGAATCCAGGAATCATAGAGTCAAGAATTCGACCGTCCTATGCGCCAGTGACCACTGCTATGACAGCTCCCGTCCCCAGAGGTCTGAGGACTTGCTTCCTTAAGGGATTTTGAATGATACGGTTGATGATGTAGATCCGCATTACCCATGATAAGGAATATGCCCGAATTCCCATAGTTTACGGTCCTCAAGGTAATGCAGGATTTAGATCATCAGCCGCATTGCGATTGAGTTTTGCAACCCCTCATCCAGCCTTGCTCCCGCCACACAACCCCCCACCCTAAACCCTAAACCCTGAACCCTGAACCCTAAACCCTAAGCCCTAAACCCCCCCCCCTCTACTTCTACAGCACCGAAGGCATCCAGAGGGATGTCGGGCCTCTGGGAAAGCTCAACCTAGGGTTTAGGGTTTAGGGTTATTAGAACCAACAAGCCTGCTGAAAAAAAGGGTTTAGGGTTATTTCGGGAGGGGTTTAGGGTTTAATGTAGGGGCCTAAATAACTACCTATACTATTTTGGGGGGTTCCTTATTATAGCATAATGGGCCCCAAAACCCTATTCTATTTATTTTAAGGCCCCTATATATTAACCCCAAGCCTTCAACCCCCGAACCCTAGACCTTCCATTCGAATACTCTGAAACCCTATATAGGACGCACGTGAACGGTGAAATCTCCTGGAAGCCAGGAAACCCTAAACCTCTAAGCCCGAAAACCTTGGAATTTATGTTGAGGCCTAAACTCCTAAACCGCAGAAAACCCGATACGAACCACCCTCAACCGAAAACAAAACCCTAAAATAAGGCTGGAAGCGCTCCGTCGTCGGCAGAGGAAGCAGAGCGACGCTGAAGCTCTGGAGGCTGGCTGTTTCTGCTTCAGGATTTGGGGGTTTAGGGTTTCGGGTTCTGGTTCAGGATTTGAGGCCGGGAAATGATTAAGGTTTTATAAGGTTTAGAGCTTGGTTAGGGCTCTATATAGGGTTTTAGAGTTTAGGGGAGTTGCGAACACGGTGTGCTACTGCTCCATTAACGATTATATAAACCCTAGGGGGGGCATTCAAAAACTCAGCACGGTTCCTTCGTTGGGGTCTTCAGGTTTCTGGTGTGGCATGGACTTTATAGGTTAATAATATCGGGGCCTTAATAATTACCTATGTTATTCTGGGGGTTCCTTATTATATTTATACTATAAAGGACCCCCAACACCCTACTCTAATTATTTTAAGGCCCCTACATTACAGGGTCTTGGCTCTGTAGGACCTTGGGTTCATGGCTTCTTGCAGGCTGTTTATATACGTTGTACTGCACTTGTACCTATCTCTATGTAAACATCAACATGGCTTGGATAATTCCTTGCACCCGATACCACTCACCCTTGCCCCGAGACTCTGCAGAAACCGAATCGCCGAGATGCTCTAATCTAAACTTTAATCCCAAAAAGGCTTAAGGCCTAGTGTCTTTTTCAAGCCCCGCACGCGAAACCAAAAATCATCCTCAAACAGCACCACAACCCTACACCCTGTAGGAGGCATGGAAAGCCTAACCTGCCTGAAAACCCTATAACCTAAACCGCAAACCCTAAACCCTGAACCCTAAGGCCTTAAACCGTAAACCCTAAACCCCGAACGCTAAACCCTAAGCCCTGAACCCTAACCCTGACCCCGAAACTTTAAACCCCAAATCCTAAACCCTGAACCCTTTCGGAGGCCGGCAACGCCGAAGAGGAGGCGTCCAAGCCGAAGCCGGAGGAGATTCTGAACGAATCGCGCGTCGGGTGCCGGCTCGCTTCAAACTAGGGCAAGTTAGGTTAAGGGTGTAGGGTTTAGGGTTTAGGGTTTTCTTACCGGACTCGGTTATGGAGCTTAGTAGTGCGTCTACACCTGTTGGCGAACATGAACAGCTTGTCCATGCGAGAACCAACAAGCCTGCTGGAAAAACAAGGGTACAGTAACTTGGGTTTAGGGTTTAGGGGGCAGATAATTCGTGTCTCTTAGTCGAAGCCCTTTCCCAAGAGTTTCTCGGGGTTTTGCCCTTAGGGCTCTGCCTGCTGTAGCCAAGGAACCCGTATGTCAATGTGAATCTTGCAAGGAGGAGCAACTACTACGCATTGCCCAATCGCCAGCAAAAAAGCGTGGCCCAGATAGAAGAGCTCCATCGCTATCTTGATAATACAGGTGCCTTAATGATTACCTCTACTATTTTGGGGGGTGCCTTAGCCTTATTCTAATTATGGTACAATATACCCCAAGAAGCTATTCTAATTGTTAAGGCCCCTACATTACTTATATTACAGAGGCTTGCCTAATTAGCATATTATCTTCGTGCAGTCCTTGTATGGATATCGTGCCATATGCAAACCACCGAAGCCTATTCCGACCTCGAAGACCCCTCTTACGACAAATCCGGGACAGTTTGTTGGTGATAAGGACTCTATGTAACCCCCAACCCTAAACCCTAATGTACTTAGCTGATATTCTACATGGAAGATCTTTTGTTTTCTGAAGGTCCCAGAATTTCGAATCCGGAAGTTTTTGGCAAACTCCGGCCGACTGATGCCCAGACCTTCCAGTTAAGGAGTATATATACTACCTTACAACTACAACCTAGTAGGAGTAGGATCCTTGATAATTCACGGATTCAACTAGGATCCCCTAAGAATTAAGTCTAGGACATTTTCAGGTG